TCAAGTTCAGRTGTACTCATCCTTTACAGACACACAAGTGTGGATCTGCCTGCTGCTGCAGGAGCTACCCGATAGAAACCCTGTTCCTTCCATAAAGCACAAAACTGCAAATCTCAATCTATTTTGCCATTCCTGCCCCTGTGCTGCCAGCAAGCATAACTGAAGTGCCACATGTAAATAGAGTTAGCTCTCAGATGAAGCCCCAGAGTTTACCAACTATTTGAAGCTAATGCCAAAATTCTGAAGGGGTTTTTGCCATTCAGATAATTATTGCATTGCTACAGCTATGTCAAAGTACACTTGGAAAAGGGGACTCATTCAAGGCAGAAAGATTTACCATCAGAAGGGGCACGCTTTCTGTGACCAGATAGGTCACAGTCCTATGACAAGTCAAGCAGAATATTGCTTGACTCTACATGTGCATTCCAAGTGGATGCACCTCTTCCCATCTCTCAAACAGAAAAAATACTACTCTTAAGTCAAATATAACACTCAGCTTCAGCTGTTAACTTTCAGTATGGCTTCAGCRTATCAAATTCAGCGGCACTGAAGGCTTTTCTGTGCTCTTGTGAACTGCGAAGAGCAAAACATATGAATCTTTTCCAAGGGCAGACTTCTGCATAACCACATTTTCACTCTGCTCATCAACACTAGCATTGACTCAACCTGATTTGACTCAGGGTCTCAAAACATGTCTAAAGGATCACATTACACTTGACAGAAACCAAGATGCATGGAAGTTAGGGATCCATCCTGGATTATCTTCTGGAAGCAACAAGACCATGCTCAGCTTGAAAGGCTTCTCTGATTCAACTATACAGTGGGACAAGACCCTACAAGACTTGCCTTTGAATAAAAAGTCTATGATGCTTGTATGCACTTAATTGTATTTCTGCAGGCTATAAAAAAAAATCGTGCTATATTCATTTTAACAAACTCTACCAGATAGTTGTGCCTCAAGAGAAATTCCCTGTTCAGGGAATAAAAGAGCTGTTCATCCAACTTCAGCAGCAAATGCAAACAGCTAATTAACCTTATCTCCGTTACACTATCCTGACTTTGCAATACATCTAGCACAGAAGCAACAGTTTCTTTGCTTTGTCCAATCCCATATATACAAAGCCTACAATCAACTGACCCGGATTCAAACTCGACTAGCAAAGACTTTGCTTCAATTATTCCTGTACCTTGTGTTCTACAGACATATTTGCCTGTCATTTCTTCATCACTTCTGGCAGTGAAAACACAAAGTAGTAAATACAAGAATAAGAAAATGATGTTTAACTATTACAGACAAGATTGTGTGCATTAACTGAACAAAACAATTAGTCAAATGTCACTCACCAAATACACATAACACTCCAAGGGCAGCGATCAGTTTCTTAGCCCAGCCCAGGTGCTTATTGTTCTTCCTCCCAACTAAACAGTATCTGTTTCAACAGTTCCTTTCACGTCAGTTTCTGAGCTTAAATACAACATGCTTCCTCATAAAAGGCTTTAAGATTCCAGTTTTATAACCTAAGAGAAATTCTTGGCCAAAACTCACAAGAAAAAAAAGTGAATTGGACAAAAGGGCAGAGATTACACTGAAATTGAAATATTTATCAAAACAGATATTCCTTGCAAGGAAGATGATCACAAAGCTAAGGACTCATTTGATCCTTAATTGACCTGGGTGCTTTTAATTAGAAATGGGGAAAATTAGCCTAGGGCTATTTAAGATCTTGATTCTACAAATCTGCAAGTGCATAATGCTGTTCACGTAGGTATTCCGCGGTGAAGTTATGCATGAGCAAATACGTTTGTAGCTTCAGGGAATAAGTCTTGAATAACTTAACCTTTTAAAACTCTTCTTTTAAGTGGTTGCCTTTTAAATATCAAGTTTGGTATATACAGCCCATTACAAAATGTATTTTAGCTTTACATGTGAAACCATTCTTCACACCAAGAAATACTTGCCGTTGCTTCAGAAAAGCAGCAATAAAGTTAGAAAAATGCTGTAGTTCTAAAGAGCATAGCTTTTAGTTATGTGACTTTATTCATATCATTGCTTGAAAATGCAGTATTTAGCTTAACATCAAAATTTGGAGTTATCTACCAATTCATTTTTGACATAAGCACTGAATAAATTTCAGGTGTGCATCCAAAATCAAGCATCTTCCAAGTGTCCCGGTGCCTGTCCTAGTCCCTGTATACTCTGGTTCATTTATTGCTTGGAAAATATCCTTTGGGAACATTTAAGTAGAGAATGTATCTTCAGGATTTTCCCTGCACAAATATCCTGACTTTCTTTTCCTTGTATCCCTGTTCCCTCAAATTTTGCAAACTCTGTGGACTAATACCTTACATACCAATCACACAGTGCTCAAAACTGTACCTAAACCTCTCCTGAATACTCTCTCCCAGCTGGCCATTTCACCAGTAGATGAAGAGTTCCTTTAYATCCAGACTCCCACAGAAGAGAACTCTTTCAGCCTGGTTTCTAAAGGCAATGTTTACACATGCTTATCTGTTGATAAACAAGTCTGCCAGAGTGAGTTTTCAATCTATTGACCAATTCTAATCAAATTTGACAAAGTTTCATAGCCCTAAAAGRCAGTTGCTCTGGCAAGTGGCAGCAAAGGAGGCAGCCAGACAGAAAATACAGAACCCATTAATGACCCCGCAAAGGAAAGGGCTAAAACAGCAACCTACCRTTATTCTACCAGGTATAGTGGCCGTGTTCCACCACTGCTCTATCCAGCCTCAACGTGCAACTCATTGGAAACCAGAGTTTCTTGGTCTTACCAAAGACCCCTCTATTGTATTTCATGTATGAGAGCAATTAAGCCATCTCTCCAAAGACACYGTCTCTCCAACACCAAAGATGCATAGCTGTTCACATTTTGTGCACGCAAATATCAAAGAATAACCAGTCACACCAAAATTGCTTTATAGCTTGTTGAGGTATTGATGTTTTAAACAGATAAAAGTAAACTCAACAATATAATACATGAAAACGTGATACAAGGTTCTCAAACATTGCTTTACAGTGATTATAGAAATATTTTAGTTACCATAAAATTGCTTCTTTATGAAAAGGTCTAGTTCTTAGGCAAGTCATAGAAGAAAAATTTTTCCTTTTTTCACACAGCCAATAGAACAAAAAAGCACAGCATAATACACAGATCTCACCGGAATATTACAGTAGGAYGATTTGTTGAAAATCTTGCCATGTTAGCACTATTACATTTCTCTTCCCTCATCCCCACTTGAAACAGAGTAAAGGGTCAGTCAGAAGCAAGTCCACCCCAAAACATAAACCTGAGCAAAAATCAGTCTGGCACCTAAAAACTTTAGACCTAACTGCAGCATTTCCTTAGGATTTGGTCTAAGGAAGACAACATCTCTTTGAGACCATACAAAATTAGTAGCTCGTCTCTTTCAAGAGGAAACTACTACACTGAAAGCTACACAAACTTTACATTTTGTTTTTACAGAGAAGCACTGTAGGTCTAATTCATTCATTGCTCCTAGAAACTTTCAAACATTTACAATATAATGATCCAGATCACCTTTAATTGGCAGTCAAACACTGACACAACTATAAATCCCAACCAGCTTCATCCAAGTAATAACCAAGATAAACACATTGATTAATATGGTATTTTATCCCTGTTGAACARCTGCTCAACAGTCAATAGAAGATATCAGTCAAAAGTTTGAGACACTTCTCCAAATCACCCCATAACTTACATGGGAAAACCATAAACTACTCTTTACTCAGTTGCTGTTAGCAGTAGCATTTTGGCTGCATGCAAGAGGCAGGACAAGGCAGTCTCTCCTCCTGCAAGAATTACAGCCTAATTGAACACACYGTAGTCAACTGCAAGCTATCTACAGTTTGGAAGCAGAGCAAGTCAGCAAGGTTCATTTTCAAGCAAATAAGCAGAAGTCATCTCATTTCTCAAGAGTGAWAACACGTTCCTACCCAAGCATCAAGCTGCCTCCCATTGCTCCCTTGCACCTGGCCACAGATCTTATGCCTCATGCATGTAGCCCCTCATCTTCCAGGAAATTGCAGAGAAGAAACAGAAATAGGCAAGAAAGAGCAGATTCTGGAAAGAGCCTTTGCCAATCTGTCAGGTTACATTATTACCAAGTGAACTTCTTTTAAGAGAGCATTTGAAGACTTGAAGGTTCAAGTCGTGCCAAGCCTCCTCGTGGCCAGGAGCCCAACATGTGCATCCCTTTAATTACACGAGTACACCTATTAAAACAGAACCGCTCGGGTCCTTTAATGAAGGGCGTACCTGGGTGCTCACCAGGAGCCAAGYGCCCTCGTGCACGGTGACCCACAGCAGGGCATACACACTTACATATACACAAATATAACAACCCCAAACACATGCATTTTTACCCAGTTGTAAAAATCTCAGCCAAGACTGAAGCCAAACAAGGTAGTAKGTTGCAAGAGACAAGTCAAGACCCTTGAGGTACATTCACCACACCGAATTTCTTGCTTTCCAGTAACTTCAAGGCAGTTTCATAAYGGGACAGAATTGCAACACAAGAAGCAAAGAATTTACATGTTTATTACAACTACATCTTCTCATGTATCCAAGAGAAAAGTGCTACTGATKTTTTTTTGTTTTTATTATGGAGGGGAGGTGGATGCTTATAAAAAGCCATGAATGAAACCTGCTCCTGCACACACAACGCCRGCGAGAAAAGGGGTGAAAAGCGTGCAGTTGTGTCCCGTTAACATACAGTACCGCCACGAGCTGTGCCCGCACGCTGTACCCGGCCGGCAGCTCCAGCCGCAGCTCCGCAGCTCAGAGCAGCCCGTTTCTCACGCAATAAATTAAATCTGTATTCTCCCCGCAGCAAAACTTKAAACGAAATCTGCCGCGGCCGCCGTAACTCGGCGCGTCCCGCCGAGGGCGGTGGAAACCCGTGAATAAATAAATGRAAACAAGCGAAACGCCGAGGAAGGGGTGGGAGCGGCGGCGCTGACTTACGGTGCAGTCCGGCGCGCGCTGCGCGTCCCGGGCGGCGGCAGCAGCGGCCCGAGGGCACCGGGGCGTCCCCGGCACCGGGACGGGGGTCGCGGGTCCCGCCGGTGCCCGTGGCGGGCCCCGGGCAGCGCAGGTGCAGCCCCCCCGGCCCGGCGCGCACGCTGCGGCGCCGGCTCCGCTCGGCGTGTCCGGGGCGGCTTTGCCTCTTCCCTCCTTCTCGGTGTGTCTCTCCTCCTCCTCCTCGCTCGCTCCGCTCGCCCTCGCCAGCTCCCACTAGTGCTCGCACGCCCTGCGCAGCCCGGGCCTCGCCACCACCGCCCGCCCCCCGCCGCCTCCGGCGCCTTCCGAGGGCCCGAGCGGCCCCACGAGCGCCTCAGGGGCCCGCGGGCACCGGCGCCATCTCGGGGCCCCCGGGGCAGCAGCACCCTGCCACCATCTCGGGGGCCCCGGGCCCCCGCCGCCATTTTGTGACCCCCAAACATTTCAGGGTCCCAGAACCATTTTGTGGCCCTTCAAGCAGAATTTTTTTCCTCCACTGGCATTTTGGGGCTCCCTCGGCAGCATCTGGGAGCCCAGCCCTGCAGGATGAAGACATCCATCTCCAGCTCTTCACAACCTTCCTACAATGGCCACCACATCCATGCCCCTGTCCCAACAACATGGGACAGTGAAACTATTTACCACCTTTATCCAACTAGCAACTGACATAAGCTAGATAACATGGCAGTGACTGATTTTTTAAAAATCACCCAGTTCATCTTCCTCTCACTGTGAGAGAGGGTTAGTATATTAATGCTATACTTGCACAGAAGTCATTTTATCCCCATTGAGTTGGGGCATTTAGTTTAAAGAGGAAACATTGCTTCAATATTCCTTGGTCACCTTCAAGGAAGTGACCAAAGAATTCCCAAGGAGGAGAGGTCCTTGTACCCAACCTCTTTCTGTCATTAGGCCCAAATGGCTCTGTCTGCAACRCAGCAGACATGTTTTCCCTCCACCTTTAAATTCCAGGGCCTCAGTAAACACCAGAGGCAGAAGTGCTGAAATATTGTGAGAAAGACTGATTACTGGCTGAGGCAAGGTGTGAAAGTGCTGAAAATCTAGGGACAAGGCTTGCTCCAGCAAGACTCACATACCGCTATTTTGTGAAACCTGCGTATGCAAGTTACCACCAAATACTTCATGCTCCACACTTATATTTTTTAGCCATYATCTTGGCTCATTATACAACAGGTCTATTGCCACTTGCAAGYCCCAGGTTTCATCCTCAGAGGCACTTCTCTACTTGTTTGCAGGAGATGAACAGAAGAGGGAAACAAGAGTGGGCTGTGATGAAATGCTCTTGCTCTTCAACAAAAGTGCAGAATAACTACTCCTTGCTGTGTAAGCAAGAGAAACCTAGAAAAAAGGGAGAAGAAAAAGGCAGAAAGTAATAACAAAAGGGATGGAGGAGAGAAGGCATAAAATTAAAGAAAAAAATAAAAGGAAGGAAACAAGAGAAAGGTGCAATAGAATCAAGAGATGCTGTAAAGCAAAAGTGCTGGCAATGAGTAAAGCCACATCTTTGTTGGAAAGCTGGGAGGCTGAGGGGAATGAGCCACTTGGAAGCACAAACAAGAAATTAAGTACCTGTGAGGTGTGTATCCAAGCACTGTACAACCCCACTACAATGCCAGTGCACAGCCAAACAGGAGGAGGAGTCATTTCCTAATTGCCTTGAACACAAAGAACTGATCTTCAGAGAGCAAAGCACTTCAGAGCAGCCACAGAAACCTTACAGTGCTAGACCAAGCACTGAGGAAAGTACCAGTTTCCTCATTCCTCCACAGCTTCCAGCCCATCTTTTCTAGGTGGAGCACTTCAACCAATTCCCAATTAAATCAGGCCTCATTCTAACAACCCTAGAGTAAGAGTGCTCAAAATTTTGAGCACTCAGCAACACCATAAAGTAGATACATTATTTCCAGGAAGACACTGCTTGAGGTTGCTAGCTTTCTGCACCGAGTGGAGTAATTGTCTAAATCTTCTATCATTGCTTAGGTAAACAGCYGAAACCACAAAAATGTTCAAGCCTTCTGGCAAAGCTTTCAGCATGCTTTCACCTCCCTGACCTCAAAGTGTTAAACACCACACTACGCCTTTTTCAGTCCCCTCAGATGCTGTATGTTGTCAGTGTAGGAGAATTCCCACTAAACAYTTGCAAATAAACTGTCCTACAGAAACAAAAATATTGTGCGATCTCTTCACCTTTTGTCTGTGTTTAGAGAAGACAACATAATACTCTCTATTCTAGAGGTTCTACCTCTTTCCAAAACAGTAGTATGCGCTTTCTGTCCCATGAAGAGTCAAACTGCTCAGAGTTTCATGCATTGCTTTTACTCAGTAAACAKCTTCTGCAAATCTGTTTGTCATTCAGTGGCCCTACATATTTCACAAGGAAAAAACACACACACATGCAACCAATTTATTCCCATATTCCTAACTGCTGATCAGGCATTCCATTTCTCTGGCTCTCCAGTTACAGGTTTCAGTAATACAGCAAAAATTAGTAGTACCGCATACTGCTCTTCTTATATCTTTCTTACAGCTCTGTAACACCCTTGCATCTCATTTTCAGACATCAATAGCAAATTTTATTCATCACTGTTTACTCACAGATTATAGCTGATAGTTCTCTACCATCCGTTTGCTGCCATGTAGTGTCCATGGTGGCTATTGTGATTTTCACATCAGCCCTTAATATGTGATCAACACAGAATCAGGATTCCCCACCAGCCATTTGGAAAACAGCTCGGGAAAAAGCCAGTTACACCAAAGGCACTTTTGTCAGAAATTATTTTGTTTAGCTGGTAAAGTAATCACTTATAATATGCTTACTAAAAGTCCAAATAAAACACATCTTAATGGCCAAAAGCTGATACAATTTTTTCTAACAGACTCAAAAAAGTCATGCTCATTCACTTCACTTTCATATTTGCTGCCCAATGGATGAGCTCAGGATCAAAAATTAGTTTACTGCTTGTAACCTAACCCTGCCATATGATTCATATGCACATGTATGCATTTGACTGTATGCTATGATGGGAATAAAACAAAGATAACGCATCTTGATAAAAGGAGTGGATTGAAATGAAAGGGTACATGATTCCTATGCTAGATGGTAAYGACAGGAGGGACGGAATACTGGAAAGAAGGTAAAAGGCACTACAGCAGAGCAGAAGTATTTGAGATAGCAGGCAGCTCCCAAAGGAGATGTAGGGACATCTGACACCCTGCTGGGGAGGGCAGCTGGCATGGCCTACCAGCAAGAGGAGCCAAAAACCAGCCAAAACATCCTCAGCAAGTTTAAATGAGCCCAAGTCCCTTCATCATGGAGGTCTGGTATTCTCAGTTCTTACTAATTTAAATGGAACTTGAGGGCCATCAGAATTGGATGCTCAATAGCTCTACTACATACAATGCAGAAGTCTCCCAAGGAAATTTTCAAAAAGAYGACAAACAAGATGACTGTCTCTAGGACAACAGCAACAGGAGGAAAAAGTCTTCTGATTAAAAATAAATCCGTTGCCTGYAACACTTTTAACTCCAGTTAAACTATTCAGTCTTTCAACACAGACAATACATCACTGACTTCGGGCACATTCCCCAGTATCTACACACACATATCACCATGCTGATGTGAACAGGCCATTCAGGCTCAGTGAATTCACACCAATAACTTTTCACATGGCTAGGATTTCTAAGGACTGGGACATCAGACTTTTAAAATTAAAAAGCTTGAGCAATATTTTATAGGCTCTGCTTTCTGAACCACRAAATACAGATTAATCCTTTTTCCAGTTTAAAGTAACAGCTGAGAAACTCCAACAATTTCACATTCAAAAGTCTAATTAGTTTAATGTAAAGTTATTTGTTCAGAAATGCTGGCCCTTTAGTCAAGTTTCAATATAATCCCCTCCCCTTYCCCCCCCTCCTTTTTCATTTCATACTTCTCAAACATTTTAAATGATCTGCTAAACAGTTCATGTGGCTTGTTTGTGCTACAGTGTTTTCTTTGATCACTTCTTTGAAACTTTATCCAACAGGTGTTACTTCAATTAAAAGCAAGTCTGTCATCTTTTTTAAAATATTCCTTTTATTTAACTATTCTGGAGTGCATTTTATACATTTTGTTCCTCTTGCAACTCCTTAATTTAGAAAACAAGAAAGTATGACAGTAGTATATCTCCAGTTTGTTATTACTTTATGAATCACTATATTAATACTCTCCTTATACCGTACTGTTATTTCATTTTCTCAAAACTTTCTCTTGGATTTAAGCCCTCGAAAAGGGATATGCATTCCAGAGTACGTTAATGCAATAACAATAGCAATTCTCCCAAAATTCAACCCTGTTGAACCTGAGGATGAAATTCAACTTTTCAAAAAAGTGACAATGAAAGATCTAAGTATTCCTCAAGTCACTAAAATAAGAATATGAGCCTAATCACAAAGCATTAACGAAGTTTTTGAAACAAAACTGTTTAACTTGTTTCATGCTGACAGTTAGTAGTGATATATGATGACCACCTGAAAAGGAGACCCCTTAACCACCAGGGACTGCATAGAAAAGACATAGACACTTCTTTTTGAAATAAGCATTGTATTGCAATATATTTCTCTTGGGAGATCTTCCCCTCYTTTTAAGGTGGGGGGAGCGTGGCTGGACTAAAAAGAGGGTATATTTCTACCCCAGTGACACATCCAGCACAATAAATCCCACGTTGAGAGAATGCTACACTCTCCCAGCAGAAAGGATCAGTCAGTGACTTATTTCGCTTTGACTTAGGGTTGCTTCTTTTTGTGGGTACCCATTTCACAAGCCACAGTCGCAGCTGTGCAGCCCATTGCTCCTCCCTCCAAAGTGGAACATGCAAAAATACAAAAGACACATCCATCATCACATAAAAGGATCCTTTTCATTTCTTCACTGTTGTATGTTATGGAAAGCAAAGAGAAACAAGCCATGGAAAACAAAAGAAAGCTGACATGTAGAACATTGCATGTCAGGGAT